TACCATTGGCTTGATATGCATTGATCCCTTTACAATATTCATTTTATTGTTGTTATTATTGTTGCACATAAATGTAATTAATTTAGTTTTTGTGCTCGTATACACCTGAATATTGATACATTTGTACACGAGCATGTGTTGTTTATGTTAGGTCGAGTATTCACGTTATCCGCTATAGTTTGCTTAAATCTATCATAATAAATGCCATTTAAATTGTGATCGTAATTATAGTTATAAATAATTGTATAAACATTACTTAATGGAAAAAGCTTAACCTAAGTTAGCTTTAAATATAAACAATAATAACAATATTAACATATTCAATGTGTACACAATATAGATAAGTAACTGATTACGTTCAATTTTCATCCTTAATATTAAGAACACAATATGATTGTGTATTGTGTTTGGTTAGGTGGGTGGTCATGTACGTAGCTTAACTTGATTTTGTAAGTAATTGGTATCTACTTTTCAAATACACTTAAAACTTCATGAAGACATAATGACTGTTGCTTCCAATCACCGAAGGCATACGAAAACTGAGAAATTAAGATCAATAAACAGATTTATTAATATATATATATATATATAAATATATATATATATATAAATATATATATATATATATCTATACAACACTATCTGTGGTGTATGTAAAGAAAAATAACAAATGTTTACAAGACAAGATTTTAAGTCAAATTGTTAGATGCATTTTAATAAACTGCAGTGAACATCTTTATGCCTTAATACTATCCGTATTCATCCACTTAAGACTGATAATTATTTATTTTGATGCCCAAAGTAAGTGAACTTAAATGAGTGTTTCCTTTGAAGGAGGGGTATCAGATTTGTGAAATGCTTGCAAAAGAGAAAAAGTTGACATTGATGACTGCCATCAAGGATACACATGATGTCTGGCGATGTCTGTTTGTGTCTATTGAAGTCGTCTTTTTTTTTTTTGCTTTTTTAGGAAGTTCCATATTTTCTCCTAGTATTCTTACTAGGTTGAGCAATTCAACCAAATGTGTTCATGGGTAAAAAGAATCCAATTATCTTTCCTCCCTCTCCAAACTCTCTTGAACTTGGTCTGCAAGTTTAGGCTTGAAATGTCACCAGACACCTCGCTCTATATATGAGAAAAGTTTTCAGTTTCTAAATTTTAGCGATAAGCTGCTGCCTATCTTGTACTGTAGATACACGGCTAGTAGCTAGTAGCCAATGTACCTACAGAGATCAAAACAGTCTCTCTTATTGCTCCCATCCATGGATGAAGTTACATAAAGTCTTAGCAAGCTGTTGAATAACCTTTCAATAAGTCATAGTAGTGGTCCCTAAAAAAAAGATCCACAAGCAGGAGCTTTGTCTAGACTACACAGGGACAAGACCATTCGAAATTTTATTTTCCTAATTTCGAATTAAGTTGTAATCGATTACCAAAGCCAAATATTTTTGCTTGGTTCTGAGATTGGTTACGAGCGGGAGGAGACGCGTGAAACTATTATTCTCTCGTTGATTCTCATAAATCTGCTTACGGAAGGGACCTGTAAGTGCGTAATATGAAAATCCAATATAAAAAAATTGACAGATTAGAAAATGCGCAAAGGACCCGTGGACCCGTGTACCCTGTAAATTGAAATTTCCAACTGCTTAATGATATCTAAACGATAACCGAAATGTGAAGCTAAAATGGTTAATTATATAATAAAAAATTATAAGAAGATATTAAAGAACAGAATTTCTATAGCGTGTTGGAAAACGAAAAATCAAAATATGTTGCCATCGCTGAAGTCATTCAGCCTATGCTGTGTAGTGGATGCACAACACGGAAACCTTACATATCGCTGTCTGCCGAGACGGGATAATCTTGTTTCTTCTGAATCAAATTATTTTATTTGCTGGAAAAGATGGATATCTATAGTCGACTCCGAAGGAAAAGTAATCATTTTACAACAATTACCATTGTACCGTTATAACGTTTTCCTTCCTTAACAAAGAAAAATATCCAGTTGCATCAAATTTAAACTTTTCGACGTTAAATAAGTTAAAGTTTTTAATTTCTTAGTATATGTATAAACATAAACTTTGTAACTAGCAAATACAAATACGCAATAAAAAAAAAAAAAAAAAAAAAAACAAAAAAAACCAAAAAAAAGGCATTAAGAAACGTTTTAAATTTCATGAGTTGTTAACGATGTTCCAAAAAGCTTAAATTAGAATCGCATTGAATTTTATAGTTGGCAGTCGCGTGCATAGATTCAGACAACTGCTCCCGCCATTGAAATCAATTCATCAACAAAAACGTTGCTTGCTAAAGACACAGACATTCGTTGCTATATTTACGGAGTGATGTTTACAGGAAGTAAAACAGAAACAGACATACATATTTAGATGTATCTAAGTTTGTTCCTGGTATACTTAAACTACTTTGGTGACAGGAAGTAACTTTAATATACCGACACATTCAAAATGGCGAGCTTCCAAGCGAACGAGAAAGTTTTGCTTGTTAAACGAGCATTTTCTTCGCTCGGTCTTTGCATCAAACTACGTGCTATTTGGTGTATATCACGTTTTATCCAGGTAAACATATCTACTTTGTGTGTATAAGTAAAATATTAACATTGTGTTTTCCACCACCATTATTATACCTATTATCGGTCTGGGTATACACATTTTGTCATAACGTTTGTATAATGCCCAGTGGAAAGACAGTGCACACAGACTCTTATAAAGTATAAAGATTTTCCATCAAGTTTGAGTTTCGACTTGGATTAGAGATGTATGGTCGTCTGCCTAATTGTGTATTAATGGAACAGGATTGAAAATGAAGATACCCACATCAAATTTAAAAAAAAAAAACAGTTGCTCTTGAATGGACGTACGCACGTACGAACCTTGGTATTGGAAATAACCCAAAGTCATCAGACTCGGTAAGCATATGTCCGTTTTAGTTTTTTTTATTCACGACGAACGATAAAAATTTCTCCGCATATGCTACTGATAGCATAGCTTCAAAAATAAAAAATCGCCTACCTTCCCCCCGATATGATAAAGAATTAATTTTTCATTTTTTTTAAAGTTTATTTATTTATTTATTTGTTTATTTATTTATTTTTTTTTTAAGATAAACTTAGTTAAGAGTGTAAAATATTCGGCTAGAGACGAGTGTAGTTTTCTTATTTTTTATTATTATTGCTCCCGATTGCATGTAAATGCCAGTTCAGGTCTTGCTTATACACGGTACGACACGTTAAGCAGATGCATATCCGCTGATGCTTTGTTATTGCAGTTTATGTCATATTTATATTCCTTTTCTTATTTTTCTTCACGCAAAGTCTTTGTGTTTTTCCTTTGTTGTTACTCGCTTTTTTAAAAAAAAATTTTCTTTATTTCTATTGAAACCTGTCAGCAGTGTTTCCTGTGTGTTCGCCATGTACTGCATTGCGATCTATTGTATTTGTTACATATACATATATATATATATATATATATATATATATACATATAAGCCACCCGCACTTACATAACCTCATGTGCATTATTTTAAATTATTTCTCCTGCCCCAATTCCTTTGATGATGTTGTTATTTGTTTCACTTTTCTTTTTTTTTTTTTTCAACTGTTTTATAATGCTTGTCGTTCGTTGCGTTTGACTCGGAATTCTTCTGTCTGCGCTGTCCTTGTTTTTATGTTTTTGAACCTGATGATGATGATTCGTAAGATTCGTGGAATATTTTATTTTTCATTTTATGGAAATATTTTCCCTAATGGGATTTCTACTTATTTTCATATATATATATATATATATATATATATATATTTTATAGGTTAATAAAAAGGATTTTTATGATATCTCTTATTTATTCCAAATGAAAGCGTCTAAGCATTGCATCAAACGTTATCTAAGGAGCAGTCTAACATTTCATATACTTGCGCGTATAAAAGGTCTTAATAGGAATTGCATATCTTTTTATATGTATTTGCTTAACGTGATCGACCTCGTCGTCACTTTATTTATATACATACATATATGACACTTTTACTTTTTATATAACTTTCTAAAGTTGTAGTCTTTTTACTCTTCTTCGTCTTCTTTGAAATGGGGCTTAAAATAGTGTGTTTGCCATTTTCATCTACTGCTCGTGAGGTGCCGTTTATTCTGATTCAACTGAACACATCTAATTCTATTTAATCATGAAACAAATACTATAAGAGATTCATGAACGTCTGCTTTAACAACATCTGCATATTTTTCATTTCATGAGAAATTTTCTTGGAACGAGATGAGTTGACCTCTTTGTCTTTGCAAAAGAGAAAATTGGCTCATTGCTCGTTACTCCAAAGTTTTTCGGTTTATCTTTTTGTGTTAAGTTTGCCTCAATACGAAATGAACAAAGTTGAAGAAAATGGAAAAATATAAACATTTATACATAACAGCCCAACTCATTATTGTTGTTATTATTGTGTACACTGTTTGCATATGTAATGTATGCAAAATATACACTTATACGCAAGAAACTGTTTTATGTAAGCATTTATTTCAGTGACCAGACGGTGGGAAATAAATTGTGCCGCATCTCACTTGTACAGGACAACAGCTTGGGAGGCTTTAGCTTTAAATGTGTAAGAAATTCGATTTTTTTTTAAAAAGTTCAATTGCTATAGAACGTCGAACAAACCATGAAGGTATCGAAACACAATAGCATCGAGATTTTCCAGCCAAGATCTCTTAAGTCATTATAGATGTGTGCTGACGATCGACAAGCGCGGCGCGTTTTTAACATCAGACAAAAGCAGACCATTTACACACTGTTGATTGCTATCTTCTGTAGGAAAATGTGTAGGCGATTGTTTTTTTTGTCAATCGAGTCAGTTTTGATTTTTCTTTTATTTTGGGATGACATTTTTTGAGCAACACAAGAGTTTTTCAAGAAAAATTTGTATAAAATAAAGAATATTAAATTATAATAAAGTCCGAAAAAGATATATTGCTAAAAATCGGGAATGACTTCTATACGCATGAAAAATTGGCTTGGCAGATCTTTTTCTGAGATATGCAAAAGTTGCGCAAATTTCGGGGATCCAGAGTTGGCTCTTGGCGTCCCATGGTACGATTCACGAGTCACTAAAGGGCTCGGTATTGGTGCGTATCAAAAGAAAGGAGGCAAGGATCCCAAACTGACACCAAGTGGAGAGAAATTTGAAGACAAGGCGACTGAGCTTGTTAAAGAATGCAATATCATCGGTGCTCTTGGTAGAGGAAAAGTATTCAACAACATCGACCAAGAGTATAAGTCGATAGCCGTAATTGGATTCGGCCGCGAAGGTGCCAGATTCAATGATCTAGAAATGATTGACGAATGCCTGGAGAATTTAACTATCTTCACAAAAGATGTAAGCTTTAAGTACATGTTCATTTGAGAGAGTCAGGTGAGTGTCGCCCGATATAGGCATCAACGCCAATCGGTAGAAAAGCCGCGGAGAATTTTTAATATGACCTAATATATATATATATATATACTCATTCATATATATACATATATATGAACAAATTTATACATTAATACATACATTTATGCATACATATCTACATATATATATGTATAGAAGTATATATATATATATATATATATACATACATAATACATATGCTGGGGGTAAAATGTACGTTAGTACACTGAAATTTCACTTTAATCGCCGTACAATACCCTGTACAGGTGTTGAAAATAAATATTTACACAAACTTAATCACTCTTACGGAAGAAATTGTGCTTAAATTTCGTAATGGAAAAATGTTGTCCATACGCTATAGCGAACGGATGGAAAAATTAATTATTCGGCAGAATTTCAAGTGCTAAGAAATTATGCATTTTGTCGAGTATACGCCGCGTTGTGCTAGAAGTTTTATTGAATTTTCGTTGGCGTTTTTATTTTTTTTGCTTGTTTTAAATTTCCTTTGACTTTAAAGGACAATCGGAAAAAGTATATTTTCCAAGTGTAAATTGGTGTGTAGCTTAGTGAAAGGGGTCCGGGGCCGTTGTTCAAACTAATTTTAAAATAACTTCAGTTAACTTATACAGATTAATCTGTGAAATGAATTGATTATATATGTATTAATGTGACTGTTCAAGAATTTTTAGTTTTTTTTTTTTTTTTTTTTTTACATAAGCAAATTTTATACAAGTTAGTGACTTAAGTTGTATTCTATCAAAATTTCAAAATTAAAATTAATTTAATCATGTCTTTGGAAAGGTAAAAAACTTCATTAAATTTTCGTTTTCCTTCCTATGATATTAAGTCGCAATTTATTCACAGCAACGTAAGTGTGTGAAAATAGCACTTTTATGTCCGTTTCAAAGAAATTTAAACACATTGTCGTTATCGCTAAGTGTTGTTCAAATGCACTTATTTAAAGGGGCGAAGCGAACACAATGTTAGATAACAAGGATGCTATACAGCCACAGGCTACGTCTAATTCACATTTTTGATAACAAAAGTGCAAGCGTCAATATGTACAAGTACAATGTCAGATTTAACATTTAACAGAAAAATTTATTTCAACGTATTTGGCATAGATCGAAGAGAGATTTGTACTTAAATACCGCCTTGTTCCAATCGCAATGTAAATCTCTATATTAACTTAGAGGCTAACTATAGCATATGTGATGCATTTTGCATCCTCTTTGTGAAAACGTAAAGGAAACAAATATAAAAATTACTAAAATATATGTCGAACCATGCTTAGGTTTGTTCAGATCTCTTTGGAATACGATGATACATCAACAAGTTTTAGTTGAAAAAATGAAATTTTTACATTGAAGTATTCCTTTATTCTTTTTTTTTTTCTGTATTCATTGCACACGAAACCCTATACTTTGTAGAAAAATAAAAAAATGAGTTACATATTTGTTCGAGTCACTATGACACACATTATTATATGTTTGTGTGTATATCGTACGCTAGAGGCTGTGTGTTTTTTGACGAATACAACGTGTACACATACATATACGTAAATAAGTGTGCGTTTAACAGGAAAATTAAGACTTTATAATTTGGTTCAAGTAAACAGGAGCAAAGCATCCTGAGGCTATGAAAGCAGTTTGTTGCGACAGCGACAGCGACAGCGAGAGTGAAAGGTATACTTACGCGTCATGGCACACTTGAAAAGTAAAGACATTTTCGGGCATTCAATGTCAATTCAATGGAATGCATAAATGTACACGATGTGTGCGTCTTTCATAATATATCAAAGAATTTTTTGCTTTGAATTTTTTTTATTTTTTTTTTATTTAAATTACAGTGACATTTGCTGCCAAATAGTTTCACACACAGTTAACTAAATGCATTTGGCTCAAGCGATACACTTTGAATTTATTGCTGAGATAACAATTGTTGTTGACATTCGCTAAAAACGACAGACAAGAGAGACAATGCATTTTTGCATATTGTATTTATCCAATAACTCTATTCACTCTATTTGGCTTTCGCTTCACTGTTGTGGATTAGAAGCAGCGCTCTTTTTGTTCACTTGCATTATTGTGCATATTAACTATAATAAGCTGAGAAAATTTATTTGGACATATGGAGCATATTAGATTAGTTGAATGTTTGCAATCGTATAGAATAATCGAATCGATTTAGTTGTTCTCTGTCTCTCGGCCCAGGAGAGTCACAGCCTCAGCTTCAAGTCCAAAGGGTTAAGAACAATCTATATATTATATTGCTTCCAACCGCTTGTACTCAGTTAAGTTGGAAGACGAGTTTTGTTTCCGCCCACTATTAAAAAGCCAAGTTAGCATTTGACTTGCGGCTTTTAATTTTTATTCATTTTTTCCATTTCAAGTTTGAAAATGAGTTAAACCTCTTTAAAGGCGCGTTTACATTACATAAAAGTCAAAAATAAAACAGAGTACATACGTAAAGTTTTTTGAATTTGAATAAATGTTCGCGATGTGTTATTAGATTGAATAAAAAAATGGTTTGTGAAATTCCTAATGTACATCCTGCTCATCGTGTGGTATAAAATATCGACTAAAACTGAAAAAAATTTCTTTCTGGCGGTGTTACGGTCGCTCATCCAAAACATTAAAAATAGTTACCGCACCTGCTGCTGCTGACACAAGTGCGGAAACAACTGCAACGAACAATATTGTTGTTGTCATCGCATAATAGTTGCCCTACATTGCATAACTAATTATGTGTCGTGAAATATTTCAAATAAAAACGTTGCTACTTATGCTACTCTTGTGCACTTCTTCCAGATTTACCGTAAAACCTTAGTAGCCTAAAAGAAACTTCTTGATAGCCATCGCTCATATTTCGCGAAAATTCGTAGAGTAAGTCCATATGCAATAGAAGCACAAAGAAGGAGCACTGAGATGATGAAAATATCTCGTAATTTTTAAGAATATTAATCCCTTACTGCTTCCACGGCTGATCCTCTCTACCGTAATGTTTTCGCGCGCTTGCCTTTTTTAGGTCTGTTTGATATGATGTTTTTGATCTAGAGCGGCAAAATCTATTGCGTAGATTTTTCTCAATGTAAATTTTGTGAAATTTGACTTGTTCCTTTTCTAAGCATTCTCCAGTATAAGTATCGCTTTAGAAGAAGCCAAGTTTCGATCCATTATCTCGCAAAGTGATGAGTATTTTTATATCCATGATTAAGCTCGCTCGTCTGTCCGCCTGTCCGTCTGGCTGCCTGCCCGTCTGTCCTGGCAACAAAACCGGAGCTATTGACTTCAAATTTTGGAGAAGCATTGGAAATTCTTGCGCGCGGATTGGTGTTGAATAGTACTACGTAAATTGAGGACAGCTTTCTACGTTTCAAAGGGAATAAAAAATTAGTTTTGTACTAATTGCTGATAAACTACAACAGAGAAATCTACAAAAATTTGACCGTATGCTCTGTGAGCGATGGTGTAATTCCATCCTAGAAAAAGGCGGCCATAATTCCACTTTTTTTTTTTCCAAAACTTTTATAAAAGGCTTAGAAGCAGGCTTCAAAAACCCCATAAATTACGTAAATTCTTGTCCAGTTTCAAATTCGCCCGGCTGTCATCACTCTATCGATCCGTCCGTCCAATTTCCCAGCGTCTGTGGCAAACATTCTCTACTTCGCAAATATAAAGAAATCGGTTGCAAGCTTGCAGAGCAATTTGAAAATGATTCAAACCCTTCTACAACACGTCCACAGGCCTCCGTAACTGCGTAAAAACTGTGAACATCTTTGATTTCTACGTTCTTTGCTTGTTACTCATAGAGTACAATATCTGTGCCATATAAATTTCCATTTTTATTCTGACAATCTTTCTTTTCCTCTTTTTCTAGGACTGAATACAATTTGCTTATCCCTTTATTTTTCAAAAATTATGTGATATTAAAGTTCGAAGGAACTGATTAGAGTTACAAAATAAACATATTCCTGTTGAGCATCAAGTCCTAAATTAATCTAGGCATTTATTTCTGTTCTCTCGACCGACTAGTCTTGCTTCAGTCCTGCACTTCGCTGGGGTAACCACCCGCCCGGTCACAAAAAAGAGTGCAAACATGTAGTGCAGGGTGTAGAATAAAACCTTTCGCTTCTTACTTTGGCATTACTATCACAAAGTCGCACATAACTGTATAAATCATCACATAGAAGCGTACACAACATAGTCTCTTGCAACTTTGAGTAGACGTAGTCCTGTGGTGAGAGAACGCAATTTGCAGAGAACCTTACTTTTTCTGATTAATTTGGGGGATAGTGCTACTCCTACCCTCACGAACACTAAATGCTTTACGTTATCCGAGTCCAAATAACCATTATGTAGTGCGAGCGAGCATTTAACCGCGATGATGTTCGTGACACTTTTGCTTACAAATACTTTTAATTAATAATTTGTGCATAAGTTTAAGTTAGTTTAAGTTAGTTATACATTGTTCCTTTCTCGCTTATATACCTGCGTATGCATGTTACGGCCGTTTCAATAAACAAAACATTATTGCAAATTAAATCGATCAACACGTTCACGTAATCTTCCAATTCGCCTTTTACACTCGTTTTCGCTTCTGCGAATGCAAAAACCGATTCGCTTCGTTTTTAGTAGTTGAAAAATATGGGCGCAAAAAAGTTTGCATCATAAAGTTGCAGCTGGGCTGGTGCATCATAATTTTTAAGATGGCTGCGATATACCAGAAGTCATGATATCGTAAGTTTCCAGTAAAGAACATGGAAAGAAGCTTAGTCCTGTGCAGCAAAACTCGCTAAGAAAATGTTCGCATTTTTAAACAGAAATATTCTATCCTCCCCACTGTTCCTTCTGATTAACATGAATTTCAGTAGACGCCTTATAGTGCACCCGAACGCTGCTTTGATTCTCATGACGATTCCTTTTAACCAACCCACCAGTAATAATCTCTCCTACCATTACAGATGCTTC